AAGCCACGGAGCGCTTTAAAGATCATAATTAGTACCTTGAATCGCACCCGGAAGACAACCGGCAACCAGTGCAGGCTGCCTAAAAGGGGTGTAACATGGGAGCACCATAGTCTTTTGGCTGAGCCAATCTAAAAAAAAATTAAGAGGAAGGAGTGTTGTGTACAAGGCCTTGAATCTCTAAATAATTAGAGGCAGGATATACAATACATCTAACAAATAAACAGAGGAGATAAACTCCTATTTGAACTATTAGATTTGCTGTGTAATTCAGTTCATTCTTTCTACCATCAGTGCAGTTTGATTCAGATGTCTGAACTGCTTTTGGAGACAGTATTTCTAAAGGCACAGAATCTAGCCTCAGAAAGCCTGATTTGAGTCAGAACACTTTGCTAATTCTGTTTGGAAATATACTTCGGTTTAGAGATCCAAATCAAATCACCTTTGAACTGAATTGCCAAGTCAAATATTCAAGAATGCAGAAAACCCCACACACAACACATCAAGAGCGGGATGTTATAACACGAGTGGTTTTTGAAGAAAAAGCTCTAATTTTTCAAGTGGTTCTGGGGAAAAAAGAATACATAGAGAGAAATCTAGAAATTCAGCAGGGCTGTCTGTTTCTCAAGTGTGGAGGGGAAATGAGAGGGTTGAAGCACAGCATAATTTCCTCCTGAGAAAGGAAGATAAACATTTTGACTCTGAGATTTCAGGAAGTCTATTTTTTCAGCCTGCGGAATGATTGATGGGTGGACGGGTGGATGGAACTGAGTAACTCAATAAGCAGTAAACTGGACCTCACACACGCACCCCTCACATCTGTGCATTTTTCCTGCACAACTTATTCTGCACCAGTTTTTGGAACTTCTGAGACAATAAAGTGGAGAGAGTTTTATAGTCTGTGTAGAGCATTTTCCCTTTATCAATCCGTTTAGTCCCCACAAGCTGCTATTCAGACAACTGGTAACACAAGGATGGTTGACAGGTTAGACATCACACCACCAGAGGTGGGTTCCTACCAGTTCGCACCAGTTTGGTAGAACCGGTTCGTGAAATCTACCGAACCGGTTAGAAGAGGTTCCACCAGGGGACCCGGAAAGCAGGCCACACCTACAGAAGAGGTTCCAAAATTTTCTGAAACCAACCACTGGTCCTTGGATATGATTATTCTACACTATCATGCTCATATTTATAAAATTCAGTGCCTCTGTGAAAGGTAAGGATGACTACTGCGTTTG